TGAATGGATCTGCTTCAGCATCAGCTTTAAATACTGGAAGAAAAGAAGTTTCAGTACATGATATATTTAAGGGAGCTATGATGAACAACCACTTACAGGGAGGACAGAACAATCCAAATATAATATCAATGCTTAGTGCTGCACATCAGTCATTTTCTGCAACCCAACAGGAAGCTCAGAATGGTAGAGGAGATTCACCTGTCAAGTCTGCATTTGTGCCTACACAGGTAATTCGAAATCAAACCCCTAGAAAGCCTCGACATGATCAACAAAAACAGGACAGTAACCCAAAAAGTGCAGTCGCTTCTGAACCTCAAACGGGTCAGAAAGATGAGAGGAGCGTAAGAGCAGACCCGCCAGTTCCAGTGCCGCAAGTGCAAAAGGATAGTCAGCAACAGAAGGGGCTGGTCACCAAGCCAAAACGTAACAGATTAGCTGTAAAATTCAATCAGCAACCAGAAGAAAATACAAGTCATTCAGATAATTAGTGGACTGTAGAGCTAAAAGGAGCTGGTACCACAATTCAAAAAGGATTATCTATGCAAGGACATTTCATAACTGATCATTTTTTCCAGGCCCAGTTGAAAAGTTGCTCTTATGATCAAAAGGAAAATTTTATAAAATTTCTTCAGTGAATCAGTGGGAAAAATTGTATTAGTCAACCTATTTTAAGATAAATGTAAACACAGTTATGTTCAGTACTGACATGATGTAATGAATTAAAGATGTATAAGATTATAAAATAATGTGGACTAAAAGCAAATGTAGAATACTGTGAAAATGTTCAAATTTATTTCTTTTTTGAATCTGGGCTTGAAACTTACTTTGTTCCAGAGTCCCATAGACAAAAACAACTTTGGATGACTAGAGGGTCTGAGACTATTGATACAGCTTGAAATACTCAAGCCACCTTTTTTACATCTTACGATGCAGACTGTGCCAGCTGAGAGTTTTGCACTGTGTGTGTAGGACTAGTAGAATGCAGGTCTGTGTTGGGACAACATGGAGTAAAATCAGGGTCAAGCTCTGGTATTTTATAGAGCACATTAAGTTCATGGATTATTATTATTTCATTATTATTATTACTGTTATTGCTATTATTTATTTTTATTCAATTACTTTTTCAAGCCAGGGTATGGTACCATAGATTTGTGTGATAGACAGATAAAGCATGTGCACATTTTTATTCATCTAACCAAATCTACATCTGTATGCACAAACACAGACACAGGCAAACACATATGATTGCAGGCATATGCACACATCACAACATAGTCTGTATATATGCACATATATACAACTATTCATATACAGACAGTAATATATATATATTTATATATATTATGTATCCTGATATCAGGAGCAATATGGTAGTCATTAAGACATGTGATAATAATTTTTTAAGCCATTCAAATGTTAATTAGGTAATCATGTATGGAGTAAGGGTCCTGTGTATTTATGCTTTCATATTTCTATCTTTTGTTGATGGTTGTTGCAGAAAACAAAAATATTTATATGCGGTAAATGAGCTGGAGATTTAGTCTTCATAATACGATTGATAATTTTTTTTCTTCCGAATTTACAGATCAGATTGTAAAATTTCATTTTAGAACACTGTCTCAAAATGTTTGAGAACTTGAGCAACGCCGCAATTTGTTTTTCTCCAGATTTACATAGTTGATACATATGCATAGAAAGTACAATCTAAAAAATATTAGTACAAATATTAAAACAAGTCCTGATGAATTTAGAATTATGCAGCAATTTCATAATGTAAATTATTTTAATTTTAATCATGATATTATTTATCTGCTTTTAAAGTAATTATTGAATTAATAACAGAACTTATTAAAGACAAAGTTTGAATTCATTAATTTTGTGAAGGATTAGGCATGGAAATAGTAATTACATATATTTTATTATACCCAGTAGGACTAATACCTGGCTAATAATCTCATTATTTAAAATATTTGAATGCTTCTGGCTATTAGTTAATGATGAAGACTGAAATGGGTATTGAATGAGAAACTCACTAAAACCTGGAAAGGGTTACATTCATCATATCTCATGTGGACTTTCACGAACAGTAAAGATATGTTGTGTGTAGGACTTGAGTATACTTTGTTAGTGGTATTGTATTTTTTATTGATGGCACTTTTTTTTTTTTTTCTGTTCCGTGTTTTGTGATTTGTAAAAAAAAAAAAAAAAAATACAAAATGTAAGAGCAAATTAAACTGATTTATTAAATATGGATTTTATGATTAAAGGTTTTGGCAAACTTTTTTTGTAATGGTGTATTTTACTCCAGATTGCAGTCTCTCTAATCTCCTGTCTCTTCTCTCTTCTCTTCTCATCTCTCCTCTCCTCTCCCCTCCTCTCCTCTTCTCTGCTCTCCTCTGCTCTCCTCTCCTCTCCTCTCCTCTCACTACACACATGCACACACACATGCACTCACGCATGCACGCACGCACATACACACACACACGCATGCACACACACA